ATTTATAATAATTAAATGAATATCTGATTTTTGTATAATCAAACATTCAACCTGATGTTTGAATATTGATTTTGAAAAGTAGGATTTTGTGTAATTTTCCCTAAAATATAGCAATTTACAAATATGGCAAATTTCATGCTTGTCAATTAAGAAGTGCCTGATTTTGATAATTCTTGTAACAACGGTCAAATTTGGAACCAAATTATCTATTATACCTTTAATGAAAAATAAAGCCATTTTTTTTTTCAATTTGTCTCGAATTTCGAGAAGAACAAATAGCTTCCATGAGAAATTACATTAGTGCTAGCGAATACCCAATCAATTCATTTGATTTCATTATCTATTAGGTATGAAAAATGCTATGTGTACATAACATTTTCTATAATGGTGTCTATAACGGACACCCTTATGTATTGTGCTATGTACCCATTTCACAACCCATTAGCTATTGACTAAAGATTTTTTTGAAAAAATGAAAAAGATGAAATAAAAAAACTATTAATAGTAAAAAAATAATTATATGCTTCCATTCATAAGAAAATCATACAATGTCCACATTTGCTTTTTGATTAGGCTTTCTACAATTCTTAGTGAATGTAATTTTTCTTTAAAATCTTGTTTTTATTGACAAGTTGTTTTTAATAGTTATTATTTTTCACATTTCATGACGTTTTCCACATTTTAAAAGTTGTTACAACATTTGGACCATATTTATCTTGATACTAACACTTCATTTGTCTAAAATGAGATTTCAATCTAAATATAAGAATTCTTTACATTTCATAATATTCTTGATATTTTAAGTGTAGTTTTCGACATTTCATAAGAGAAGTGAATATTCAATGCATGATTAACATGATATTTTTAAAACAAGTAGTATAGATTATGTGTCAAGTTATTATTAGTCAATACAATTTTTAATTATATAAATAATTTTCTCCTCATCGTGGAATTTAAAATTGCTAATGAGGACATTTTGGTATAACATATAGTCAAATGGGTATTGAAGAAATTTTGGACATTTTTTCAAATGACCGTATAAAGTGGACATTTTTTATAATTTCCTCATTTATAAATGTTATAAATTGTCAAATTTCATTTTAACTATATATTTTAATGAATTAAAATTCAATTTTTAATATAAGTCAAAGTTAATAATGAATTTTAACTACATATTTCATAGGTTCCACAACTTTTTAACCACTCACTTTACCAATTTTTATTAAAATCTACTAAAAATCTTATTTTATAGTTATAAGTATTAAGCAGTTATTCAACACTTATTTCTTTTATTTATATATTCTTTCCAAAAACTCAAATAGTTAGCATTGATTAGAACCAAAAAAACGATTGTCTAGTCGTTCTTCTTTTTTATTTTTTTGTAAACTTATTATTTTGACGTTTTTTAACATCTTTTTCAAGGCACAAACTCTGATTGTTCTCATTTTTTTATTTTTATTTTTTTTAATTTTATTTTTCTCTTGTTTTTTTTGACGCGATGGGTAATAAACTAATAGCATGTTTGTTGGGCCACTGTAAGCATCGGTTCTAGGTCCAAAATGGCTCGGGTTAGCCCATTCACATTATCGGGTAAGCTATATTAGACTTGGTTTTACTATAGATGAATTAAATTAAAAAATGATCACTTACAAAAATACCCTTAAAATTATGAATCTTTTGAAAAATCATATGAAAAATATTTTGAAAGTAAAAAATACTATATAAAATTAACTCACTTTTTAAAATCAAGTGTCACACTTTTTATTAAATTTTATTAAAAAGTAATGTCACTCAAAAAAAAAAGGACAAAAAAAAAGAGTAAAAAATACTAAGTAAAATTAAGTGACAAAATGTCGCCTTTTTATAAAATAATAAAAAAAAAAGTGTTGTAATGTCACATTTTTATTATACAATGTTATTTTTATTAAAAGGTAATGTTTGTTAACAAAAATTTCAAGTGACCAAAAAAAAAAAGTAACAAACACTTAAAAAAAGTGATAAACATTAAAAAAAGTGATAGAAATTCAAAAAAGTTAGAAACACTTAAAAAAGTGACCACACTAATTAAAACATTGAAATCGGTTCAATAAAATGAAGGGAAAAAAAGTGATACAACCACCGTTCATCTTCTTTCTCCGTACAGTGCCAAGCATTTTTTAAAATGAATTCACCGACAAAACACCAAATAAAATGCTAAGCATTTGTAAGTCAATTTGCGCCACCGCGGCTAACTCTACAAGTAATGTTCATCAGCTCTACCAGCTGAAGCAGCAAAAGGTCGGATCCAGAAGTCGTGGATCTTGACCCTGCAAACCAGAATTCAATTCCAAATCCTCGGGACTGTGGCATGGTTTGAGCAAATACCTAGTATTTTTGTATGTCAGCATCACTCACACATCAAACTTCATGGACTCCTCAATGTGCATGCTGGATCTCAGACACTTCATCAAGATTCTTATCCATGGAATTGGAATTATCCATTCTTTTCCTCTCCCATTCAATATCCTGAAACAAAGACAAAAAATGAGAAATTGGTCCTCAACCTTTATTATAGTCGTAAATTCAATTTCTAAACTACATTATCCAAATATTTGTTAAAACTTTACATGACCCAGAAAAAAACATTATCTGCTTCAATTTTCTTGGTACAACTCAAGAAGAAATGTCCTCAACCTCACTCGACGGTTTGCGAAATAAACAGAAATTGCCAAAATACTTCACTGGAAAATAGAGACGAATGAGATAGCAAGAGAGAGATGAAGAATGCGGAAAACGATTATGGAGATCTGGTGGTGGGAGTTTTGATCGAACAGAAATGATCTAATGAGCACCGGTGCTCATTAGATCATTTCTGTTTGATCGAATTCCCGAGTTTTGATTTGGGGATTTCTATTTTTTTTGGGTTTGGGAGGAGGTTTTGAGTGTATTGATTACGGGGTAAAGATTTTAATTAATTTTAGGAGTATTATTATAATTTGTTGGATTAGGAAGGTAGTGAGCCTAATTATCTCGTTAAAAAATGTGTCAATTCTCGTTTCTGCCCATTCAAACTTTTTGAATTTATGTAAATCAAATAAGAAATGACTATATATATATAATCTTGTATGTAATAAAATCATAAATATTGAAAAGAATGCAAATAAATTTCAAAAATAATAATGAAAAACATGTTATCGAGACTTCAATCAATGTGTTTTTGTTCATGTCTTAAAGTACGAGAGCTTAGAGCCATGGCGCGTAGCAGAAACATCCTATAAGAATTTGTGTTTTGATTTAAATGTAATGAAAAATTTAGGGTTCAAATCTTCATTTTATAAATATTTTCGTAAAAGAAAAGTTTGCATTTTTTATCGTTCTCTTTAAATAAATAATCATAAAAAGAAGTGAGATAACAAAAAATAAGGAAGATTACAAATAAAATTCGATAACAACTTCAAAAATACAAATATATTATACTTAAAAAATAATTAAATGTATATTAACACATAAAAAAGAATTTTGAAAGTTCTTTTCAATTCAAGCTCACACTCCCACCTTACACATCCTATTCCTCCATGACT